GCACTACTTGGATCTTTGGATACCTGTAGACAACAAAGCTGGCTGGAGTGCATGGCATCCATAGACTTTATGTACTCAAGGTGTCAGGCCTGGAGCATCCTGAGGAAACTTGGAGCATCAAACCCAGCAAAGGCCGCTAACCTGCAAGTCAATACAAATGCTGTCACTGCCAAATTGGTGGCCAACTCAAAGGGATCCCTTGATAAAGAACACAAACAGAAGGTTGAAAAAAACTCAGAGAGACAATGGCAAATTGTTCAGAATCCATTTTTCAACTGTAATGGAGAACAACCATATTCCACAAATCTGGCATGAGGCAATGGTGACAGCCTTGCCAAAACCAGGAGAGATGATACATGATCCTGGGAGCTATAGGCCCATCTCTTTGCTTTGCATATCCTATAAGTTCCTGGAGTGGCTCATACTTCTAAGAATTAGCCCTATCATTAACCTATTACTCGCCCAAGAACGGGCTGCCTTTAGACCCCATTGTAGCTGCTGTGAACAAGTCCTTGCCATCATTACAAACATTGAGGTTAGTTTTCACCGCAAGCTCAAGACTGGGACTGCCTTCATAGATCTTGCCATGGCCTATGATACTTTGTGGAAACAGGGACTGATGCTCAAACTGTCCCTGCTGCTGCCATGTGCCAAATTATCCTGGCTGCTGTGGACTTTGATGTGCAACAGAAGGATGAAGGTCTACTACGAGATAAGGTCAGCACCCCAAGAATACTCAGCAACGGCCTCCCACAGGATAGTGTTCTGGCACCGACACTTTTTAACATCTATGTAAGTGATATGCCCTGTACATCATTGTGGAAATTTATCTACACTGACGATATTGACCACACAAGCAAAAACTTTTCAGGATAAGCCACACTGAACTCTGACTTATCAATAATGGCTGAATATTTTCATAAGTGGAGACTATGACTAAATCCAACCAAGTCCATCATCTCCACATTCCATCTGGACAGTCGCAAAGCATGCTACACCTTCAGTGTCACCTTCTGTGGAGAAAAAGTGCATCACAACCTGACTCCTACCTGCTGAGGGGTGACTCTTGACCGCTTCCTAACTTACAATTATCACCTCTGAAAGACTGCTGTGAAAACAAAGACATGAGTGATCATTATCTGAGAGTTCGCCAGTGTAAGCTGGGGTGTCCTCCACACTTCTGCCTTAGCCCTGGTCTTCTCAATAGCTGAGTACTGTGCACCCATCTGGACCTCAAGTCGACATATCAAACTCATCAACACACAACTCTACTCAGTAATGAGGACTATGGCTGGAACTTTGATATCAGTTCTAGTGCAGTGGCTACCAATACTTTCAAACATTACTCCTCCCACTATTCAACAGGATGCAGCAACATGCAAAGAAATAATGTGTATCAATAGTAATCCAGACCTTCCAATCCACAGAGACCTTCAATATCTCCTAACTCATCACGTGATTTCACGAAAACTTTTCTGGACATGAACCGAGCACCTCCTATACTACAACACTGAAGAATCTTGTTGGAAAGCTTGAGCTAAAGGTTATTAGGTTTCCCTAATAAATACCTTGTTTCTGACCCAACAATGCAACAATTGGGTTTCAGCCTTCCACGGAGGATGTGGACAACCCTTAATACAATACACAATAGACATGGCCGGTATGGCCACCTGATGTACAAGTGGCATCTAAAAACCTTGCCTGGCTGTGTGTGGAAACCCTGACCAAACCACAGAGCACATAATAACACCCTGTCCCAGGTAAAAGTTTGAGGGTGACATTCTGGGGTTACACTCGCTTTCCAGGAGGGCATTGATCTGGTTGAGGAATTTGGAACTAAAACTATGATGATAGCTCTTGCTTCTAAAGCCATACACAAGAAAAGAAAGATTCAATCCCCTGTGAGGTATTTGATTTTCTTTTAAAAAGCATATCAGTAAACTTCACAGGCTCTATTGTCTACACTTATGTTAAACTGTCTACACTTACTGGCATGACATTAAAAAAGAGACAATAAACAATTATAATACATGTTTCTTATAGAAATACCAGAGATAGAGTTCAAAACAATGAGTCATCATATTATTTGCTGCTGCCTTCATGTCTAACAACAAAGAGTGAAGCACCTTCAGTGAGAGGTGATTTCTGGGTATCTTTTTAAATACCCACATTTTTGAAGAATGAACTTTGAAGTCCTAAATGGATTTTTGAGTACACTGAACTAAGAAATGAGAACACAATGAATGAACAATATATTCAGCTAACATAAGGAGGGAAAGAAAATAACTGCTGGGTATTAATGAGGCAGATATGTGGGTAGAGTCATAGGTTAGCATAGAGGGGTATATCATATAGTCTGGGCAGAGGACACATGCTAGGAAATGGCTAGCAAAAATGTGTTAAAGCAGTTCATTAGAGATACCATGACTCTCTTCCTAGCTAGTATAATGACTGAAAACAAGGGAATAGAACAGAAAGATTATATAAAGTGCATTTAGGTCAGGTTTTAAAGATGCCCATCCATACATTTAAAAAGAGGCTTGAAAGGATGCATGTAAAGAATTAGGTTTGTTCAGACAAATGAGTATGAAACATGGTAGCAATGTGAAAAATCACAGGGCATTACTATCTGAATGCTGCAGTTCTTTAGAAAAGATAGAATACACTGGAAATAGGAAGGAATCATTATGTTTGTGAGGCAAGTTGTAGAAATGATAAGGAATCTTTCAAGAATTACAGATAGCAATGAATTATTAATAAGGAAGATTCACTACTTTATTTTAAGGAAAACTTTTCCTTGTTATACAGTGTTAAGCATCCCCAGCTGCCAGTCTGGAGATCAGGATCATCTCCTTGATACAAATAGAATTGTGTTAATCCTGATTTTGTAGGGAAATAACTGAATTATAGAAGGTCTCTTATATCTTTAACTTGTATGATTATTAGAATGCTAAAATGAAGACTACAAAGACAGTAAGCTTTGGGTAGAAGTTCACTCTAGACTGCTTAAACAAGGCATGAGATGACAACTGTAATACAAAAGGTTGTGGAAAGGACAGGCTATTAATGCAAGTAGGAGATTTAAGGTACCCAAGACAGTAAGGCACACAGTGAAAGCAGCAGTAGTTGTATGGATATAAGGCAAAGCTGCTCCTTTACCCACTACATAGAGGAAAAATATAACTAGAATCATGCTAACAGAGATGACAGGATTAAGTAATAGAGAAAGGAGAGTATCTAAGCAACGGTGATAATTATAGTGTATAAAAACATCAAACATATAATAGAGTTGGAAGCTTGTACACTAACTGTGTATTCAGTACATACCTGAAATGAAAATTCAAGAGATAGCAGACTGAGCAGTAAAGGAGCAAGAATATCTGTCACTACAATGAGCGTGCAGAGTATTTATTCAAATGCTTGTTTCTCCAGGGATAAAAGGATATTCACATAAACTCACCAGGGGAGCAGGGAAAGAAGATTGTGAGGTTGTCAGGTTTATTCTACTCTGTTCTTACAGAGGTACATGTCCATGGTAGTGCAGAATGTGATAATGTGGACAACACTTGAGATGTTGCCTGTGTTAAACTGGAATGAGGATCTTGTGAGTTGGCCCTTGGAGTTGTTCATTGCTTTCTCAAATTGTTGCATCAATCAAAAATCTGAAATCATACATTCAGATGGAAGGTGCCTGTTAGAGACTGTGTGATCCAGGTTGCCTTGGGTGGCTTTTAACTAAAAAATAATGGTGTGGAAATGTAACATTAGATGAGTTTTTAGACCAACAGCAGTCTCATGTACAAAGCAATGAACTCAGATGTTCAGCTGGTGTAAATTGGCATACTTCCCCTGAAACTGTGGTCCATAAGAAGGCCAAATCTAATAATCTGTTTGTTTGTTTTTTAATCAACTTGGTTTCTCATAACCAAGGAAGAAGGACGCAGCACTTAGCAAAAACAAAGATGTTATTGCACTTGCGGGGAATGTTTACGTTTTGCAAACTAGATGGGGTATCTCAGTCGTGTAGTGCTGCGCTCCCCTTGTGTAACTCAAAATTAGGAAGGAATGTAGAAAGAACCAGATGTGTTCTCCCTGGGGAATTTGTTTGAAATACTTGCCATTTAGTTCATTCTCAAGCCAAATGATTTTCTCTTCAGGAGTACATCTGTGAGCCACAGGAAGGGTAGTACAGGCAGGGCTAATGAAGTAGTGAGTATCATCATAGGCAGCTGACCTTCAGCTGTGGCAGGATAGAGCAGCCTGAGGCTCCACCTATGGGCTGGCCCATACATCAGTATAATGTAGAAGTAAATTAAAGCTCCCTTTTGCCCCCACAGTCCCAGTTTAGCATGGAAGATAACCTTGCTGGAACAAGAAATCTGTGAAAGCTGGCCCAATGCTGTGCTATGTGCTGTTATTCAGATAGAAGGGGGGTTGCAAAACTGAAGCATTAGAAGTTTTGAAGTGTTTTAGTACATGAAAATACTACATTTGGATGGTTTCATGGATTCCTGCTGAAGGAGTCGTTACCATTGCTGCAAAGAGAGCTTAATTTATGAGTCTCTTCCATGACTTCAGGCCTGATACTACTGCCCACATGAGAGAGCATATTGATTCTATCACTGGTGTTGCTCATTAGAAATGTCATACTTGGTTTTACTTAATCTCTGTCCTGAAATTTGCAGGCAGCATGAAGCATTCATGATTTCTCTGAGATGTGCAATTTCCAGCAAAATGAAGGGTAACACTACTGAGGCTTTTCATCCCCATTTCACAACTGTTGTTGAAAGCTTAGTTCATGGTGCTTCTTTTTTATTTCCATGATGATTCTGAAAGGAAAAATATCTGGGGGAAAAAACTATAGAAAACCTATTAGGCATCTTGGATTTACTGAATGTCTGCATTATGAAATGAGTATACTATAATGACTATGTTTGCAATATAAATGAGCTTTAGAAAGAGCGCAGTCTAAACACTGTGTTAACTGCTCTGTGTTACAGATGACAAAGAATGGCACAGTGGAATCTGAAGAAGCTAATACCCTAACGCTGGATGACATTTCTGATGATGATATTGATTTAGACAACACTGAGGTAGATGAGTACTTCTTCCTACAGCCTTTACCAACAAAGAAGCGAAGGGCCCTGCTGCGAGCCTCTGGAGTGAAAAAGATTGATGTGGAGGAAAAACATGAGCTGCGGGCCATCCGCTTGTCCAGAGAGGATTGTGGCTGTGACTGCCGAGTATTCTGCGATCCAGAAACTTGTACTTGCAGCCTCGCAGGCATCAAATGCCAGGTAAAGAACTTGATTATATTCATTCTTTAACTAGCAGAGTATAAACGGACATGGGGAGCTGCAATTGTACTGAGGGTAATGGATTACTAATTGCTGAAATTTGTGGGTCTTAGAAACAGTTAAAAAAAGAAAAAAAGGCCCAACCTGGCTTTTGTTAAGTACAGTTGATGTGCTAGACAAATCTAACCCTTTAAAACTGGGTTATTTTTTATTATAATTTGTAGACAGATAGGCTGTATAAGTTTTTCTTCTAAGTACAGATAGTCAGTTCCCCACATCCTTATGTGGACCTTTAACTAAATGCTCACCAGAAATGACAGATGGGTCACGAAACTTTAAGCCTGCAGATTTCACATAGGACATTAGATTAGCTTTTATTTTTAGATATGCGTCTTTCCCCCCTAAGTACAGTTCTTCAATGACTTCAGACTGTACCCATTTAGTCCCATCTTGATGAGAGGATTATGCTCAAATATGAATTGAAGTCCATGCTCAGAGTAAGAAGCAGTAAAGGAAGCATGCCTTACTGTCCTTCACTATAACCACATTGTGCTTCATAATAGAATCATAGATATTAGAGTTGAATTGACACTGTTATGTCATATAGCTAGTGTCTCTGACAATCAAAAATGTATTCCTTAAAGTATATTTACCAGAGCTTTCACCAGTATCATTTTAAATGTTCCAAACAAAGAGATTTCTACCACTTCCATTTGTGTAACTTGGGTTACACCCTATCTCTCACCATCAACAAGTTTCTCTGAATGTTCCTTTTCATAATTTCTTAATCCAAGAATTTATTCCAAGTTACATACTCTGTACAACCCTAAACTATTTATTTCCTTTCTTGGAGTTCACACTTTTTAATATTCATAGACTGTCTGTTTTCAGTCCTGCACTATCAGGGAAATGGACTAGATTACTGTTTCTCAATTCACCTCAACCATCCACGATAGTCCCACACAGCTTTACAGTCTGCCAGTCGCCCCAACCTTACTTGCCATTCTGCAGTCAAACTACCCCCAACTTCATAAGCTGTAGTGCTGTGCATCTCCCAAATGGTCCTCTTGCCAGGAAGGCTGCAAAGACAACCAAGCTAGTTCTGTACACAGTAGCTCTGGAATGGAAGAAGCATAGCCATACATGTGCAGCGCTGCACTTGAACGAATAGCTTTGCCTCTCAGCAGAGATAGTATACATACAGTGCCACACTAGGGTAGCACCGCCATTTCCATTTTGGGAATTAATGCACTGAGAGCAGGGGCATAGGAAGAACATTTGGGAGAGTCAGCTGAACACTTCAGCCTTTCTCCCACCCCTGATCTGCTCATGGACACTACCCATGACATCTCCATGAGATACTAGCTGAGAACTACTTGACTAGATCACCTCATGTGTTTCCACTTTTGCACCACATGTAATTATAGCAGTCAGACTGTAAGTGAAAAACTGTAGAATTTAAGCATCTGACCAGGGTACCTGATTTGGGGTCCAGTTAGGTATAAGATATCTACATTATATTCTTGCTGCTCACAGTTCTTTGTGCTTTCTCTGAAGTCTCTTCTAAAATTCATCCCAGGTTCCACCTTTAATTTCTTGGTCTCTCTCCCGTAGTGTGCTCTCAAGCTTTATATATTTAATTCTTAATGTATACCTTTCTTTGCAAGTCTTCCATGACTGTTAATCATTCTTGTTCCTACTCTGCTTCCCATCCAGTTTACCAGCTTTCTGATAATAAGAGGTCCACAAACGAACACAGCATTTCTGATGTGTTTATAGCAGAGGCATAGAAAGAGAAATTGTTTTCTTCCAGTTCCAGTGAAGCCTCTGTGTATGAAACCTAAAACTCCACCGGCATTTTTCCCCAGCCATGCCACATTATTAGTCCATGTTTAACTTGCTGCTCTGTATGATTTTACTGCTTTCTAGGGTTCTTCCTCCAATTAAGTATATCTGCTTTGGACTATTTTTTTTCCATATATGTTGCACTGTGTGCTTTCCCTGAATGAATAATTTTGTCTTTTGCTATCATTGGTTTCATTGTATGTGTAGTTAATGTGTATTCTTTTTTTTAAAAAGGTGGATCGTATGTCTTTTCCATGTGGTTGCACTAAAGAAGGGTGTAGCAATACAGCAGGTAGAATTGAATTTAACCCCATCCGTGTACGGACTCATTTTCTGCACACGATAATGAAACTTGAATTGGAGAAAAATAGAGAGCAGCAAGTTCCTGCACTAAATGGTTGCCACAGTGAGATAAGTGCTCACACTAGTTCTATGAGCCAAGCACCCCATCCAGTAGAGTATTCAATTGCAGAGAATTTTGAGACTGAAACTGAACCGCAGACTGCAGTGATGCACCTGCAGTCAGCTGAGGCCTTGGATTGTCCAGGGGAAGAGGAGGAGGAAGAGGATGGAAGCAGCTTTTGTAGTGGAGTTACAGATTCTAGCACACAAAGTTTAGCACCCAGTGAATCGGATGATGATGACGATGAAGAGGAGGAGGAAGATGAAGATGATGATGATGAAGAAGAAAAAGTGGATGATTTTGTAGAAGGCATGGGCTCCCATGCTGGCGTGGTACCGCTTCCTTCTGTCCTTTGCTATTCTGATGGCACTGCAGTGCACGAAAACCACTCTAAAAATGCCTCATATTATACTAACTCTTCAACTCTGTATTACCAAATAGAGAACCATGCCCCTGGCACTGCTAACCAGATCAGTGAGACCTACTCAGAAAGGGACACTGTTAAAAATGGTAGTCTTTCTCTGGTGCCTTACAATATGACTTCAGAGCAGTTTGTTGACTATACACGGCAATCAGAGGAAAGTTACAGCAGCCCTCATTACCCTTCTGCAAACCCCTCTGTGATAGTTTGCTGCTCTTCTTCGGATGGTGATAACAGTGTTCCATGTAATAGTTTGTATGCTGAACACAGGCCAAACCACCCTCAAGTGGAATTTCACTCATACTTGAAAAGTCCCTCTCAAGATGGATTTGTTTCAGCTCTGAATGGCGACAGTCATGTACCAGAGCATCCTGCTGAGAATTCTATAAACCTTTCAGAAAAGAGCAGATTGCATGAAGAGTGCATCAAATCACCTGTTGTGGAAACAGTACCTGTTTAACATGAAGTTATTCTAGGACTGCATTCCTTTATTTAAATGCACTCTGATTACATTGGATTTCCTAGCACCGTAAGTTTTTTAAGCTGTGGACAATGAAAACTTGGACTATGGGTAATGTTCCAGACACCTTTTGTTTTTTTCTTTCAAGCTACATGGCTGTGGCATTGCACAACAGCAGTTCATGTAAAGTTTCGAAAAGATGGGGGGAAAAACTGTCTTTTGATAGAAAATGCATAAATTAAAAATATATACATATTTCAAAGTAGCCTACCTGTCAAACTGTGTGAAACCTGCCAAGCTATCTGAATCAAAGCTTCATGTTTTTGATTGTCGGGCCTGTGCAAGATTGTTAAAAATGATACTTTGAAATATTCATATTTAGAGTCCTAAATTTTCAACATATCTGACAAAGATGGTGACTTTTTAATGTAGAAGTAATTACTGTATGGAAAAGTTTTAATTGTTCTGTACTGTATGTATTTTATTTATGATAGTTTAGTACTCATGTTTTTGATAAAAATGAACAGCATGTTCATTTGACCTGAAGATCCATAGCTAGTAATACAGAGCATGCCCACTTAAATTTCATCTGGAGTACCATATACATTTTTTATGACCACTCCATGCAACTACTTTTAAAATGTAATCTTGAAGGTACATGGGGTCTCTTTTTACTATTTTTGACAAACAGAAGTGTCAGTAAGGTGGCATTTATGTTTTCTATAAAGGTGAAAGGTAGGACAATCCTCTGTTAAAGCTGGTATCAATGGCATCCCACAGCTAACTCCCCATAGAGAAAATTGATGTTGTGTATAAAGACAAAGCAGCAATTTAAAGTCACCCAGCACCTTTTAGCTCTACAAACATTCAGCTTGCTAATGCACTTTAGTGCCATTTTGCAGTACCTTATTAATTGTGGAAACTGGGAACCATTTTGGAGAAATACCATGGCTGCAGATTTTAAGATCTGTGTAATATACAGGTGCATTGTAATGAATATGATACAAGTTTTCCGAAGCCAGTTTATGAAAGCCTCAATAAGTAATTAGTAAAAGCAAAGAGCCTAGCTGCTTAGAGAGTAAACGAAGCATGGAAAAGTGTGTGTGTGTGTGTGTGTGTGTAAGTGGGGAGCCCTAGATTTTCCTACCTTTTTAGCTATTGTTATAAAAGAAGAGCCTTATCAGAAGTCCTTCTGTGAACTTTTGATCAGATCCTACATGTATAGAATCACTTATCACTATTAATAGACTAAATTTGGTACTAGAAGCTGCATATTTAGTTAAGACCCTGGGTTCAAAAGTTTTATACCTGTGAAAACTGAGGCAATTTCTCATGCATATCCATTATCATGTTTTCATTTCTTTTTCAAAAGGGAATGAGAATTATGATGTATGCTTTATACCATCCATTAAATTATCATCAAAAGATATTTTTTTCTAAAGAATTAGTAGAAGCCCATTTTTGGTACGTTCATGTAGCTATAGCTAACTGTGCATTGCCTTGTATAAAATGCAGCACAACACTTCAAAATCTTGTTTTGATGTTGAAGTATCTTTTGTTATATGTCCATTAGTCTAACATGTAGACATATGTGGCTGGCTAGTCAAATTACAACATCTGCTTAATTTTTACCAAAGTTAAAATGAATTGTTGAGAAAGAGAGGCATATAAGCATAGTATACATTTCAACTCTGTTTCACTGACTGTTCAGGTGAGTAGCTCTTTATAAAAGCATATAGAGTACTCCAGTAGAAAGATTACCATGTTTAAAAGAGGCTCTTTGAAAAAAGAAGTCATGATTTACTGTTGCCTTTATGCTGCTTGTCTACAACCATTGTCAATTAATTTTTTACACTAAATTGGCAAAAGCTGTTGATGTATTCCCTATGAGAGAGCATTTTTGTTGTTGTTGATTTGTTCCCATGTTAATTCATGAATGCTTTTATTGTGATTTCTTTGAGATAAATCCTGTTTCTCTAAGAAATACATACGTTATATTCATGGCATTCCTATATCCTGGGAAAGGACAGCCCACTTCAGCTTATCATCTAAAGCAGCCGTTCTGCCATTTTAGAGTTCTGTTCCTCTAATTTGTAGTAGCAACCAATTTCCTTTCTCCAAAGGATGTGCAGTCAGGTGTTCTCAGCATTTATGCAGCAAATGGTCATCTTTACATTTAAAGAGAAACCAATTAAATATGTTTGCTGAAACAAAAATACGCAGGCATACAGAAAATATACCTCTGTCCAGAGCTCTCATGATTTTATGGGGCACACATGACTCACTGAGTATATGTGTACAGACATCATGAGTTAACAGCAGACAGAAAGCCTGGCTCTCCCAACACCAGCACCAAAAGCACAAGCCTCTACTGCCTGAGCTCAAGGAGTAGCTGTAAGGCAGTAGCAGGTTCTTAACCTCAGCGTGGGTTGGTCACTAAAGGGAGGTGGGCTCATGCACACTTAGCCAGTGGATTTCACTCAGGTGAAAAGTAGATGAGAATTTTGCTGTGTTAGTTGTTCTGTTACTGAGCAATAAAAACCTCTTGTCATGACCTCTGCATTTCCAGATGAAAAATACCTTCAGCAGTGTTAGCAAGTAATGCACTAAGATCAATAGTTAAAATACAGCTCAGCTCTAAAATACTGAAATGAGGGTTATTATTTAGTAGTTATATTTCAGTAAGTTTCCGAGACCTTTGTGCTAGATGCTGTGTAAACATAGCTGCTTCTTTTCTTATCCAGGAGTGCTCAACTTTTGGCCTGGCACCAGGTCACCCATCCTGTGGGGCTCCCCATGGATCTGTGGGGACCCTCAGAGGGCTGCAGCCCTGCTTGCTAGATGAGGGAAAGAGGGCAGCACTGGGCCTGATCACAGCGAATGGGGGCTGAGTGAAGGTAGTGCAGGGCCCCCAGAGCTGGATCCCAGCTGGATGGAAGTGATATGGGACCCTCAGAGGTGCATCGCACAAGGTCCCAAAGCCTGATCCCAGCACACAGGGGCAGTGCAGGGACAATCTCAGTATGTACAGGAGGCACAGGTCCGAATCCAGCCTATCTGGCCCATCCCTGTGTTGTTCATTTGGCCTGCAAAGCCAAAACCACAAGCATCACTGTTCTTATGTTTCCTCCTGCTGCTATATTAGAAGTAAATACATTTCCTTCCCTCAGAAGCATACTGCCCAAGATAATAAGCAGCCTAAAAAGAAGAGGGAAAGAAGAAAGCACTTCTGTACAATGTTTGCTATAGTATTTTCTCCAGTTGAAGGTAGAACCAGTTACCAAGAGATAGTGAGGGTGTTTTAATTTCCTCTGAATATACCTGACTAGGCTGTAAAGCAACGCCCTCCTATTTTTGGTCATTCTTTCTCAAATCTATTGCTTCTTGGCCTAGATGTGCTCTCAGGTTTCACTATCATGTTCATTCCTCAGATTTGCATGTTTCTTGCTCAAAGCATAGCATAAGGTCAAAGCTTGCCTACACTGGAAAAGATTTTATGGTCTAACTTATATGACACAGATAGGGATTTGTTGTGAGTGATACATCTTTTAGCAAACCAACTGCATGGTTGGGATGCATCTCAACAGGTTTGGATTACAATGCATGCTTCTTTGAAAGCTTGTCTAAATCTATTCCAACCATGCAGTTGGTTCAATAAAAGATGTCACTGATAAAAATCCGTGCCTCTTGCATACTTCCTGAACCATTATGGGTCCAACATCACTTCAACACTATAATACAGGTAGAAAAAGACCAGCAACCCCCATAATGGAGACAGAGTTGTTACTGGCAAAAGACCTACTTTCCCAAAATAGCTTTAACCGCTTCTCTAACAGAAAAATTATAACTGTCTACACTAGGGCTTTTGGGGCATAGATGTGTCAGTCAGGGAGGAAACAAAGCACAGTCCAACCCAATATACATATGCTCATATGCTTTGAAGTTTAGATGAGGCTTTAAAAGTTGGAAGTGAGTAATGCTAACTTCCATTTTGTGATCCTTTCCTGTTTCCCTTGGAAGCAATGATGCCACTGGTTTAAGGAAAACTGGCTACTAGTTTGGGAATCTCTGAGATTTGATGCTTTTCCATCTTCTTGTGGCCCATCTCTAGTAATGTGTATGAGGAAAAACAGTATCCTACTGCTCAAGTAACTAAGTGGGTTATTTCCTGTGCAAAGCTAGCCAGTATTTTAACTTTTGTGAAACTTATTTCTGTGTGGTAAAAAGGTTATGTTGTTAAATAACAAATAGCAGTGTATTTCTTCTGTACAGATGTAGCATGTCATATATTGAAACATTTATTTTAAAGATGGCTATCCAGACCTTGTATGTGTTAAGGAAAACTATACCAGCTTTACATCTAAAGATCTAAAGTATCTAAAAGATACTTGTTGGTGCCTAATAACAGTCATTGATAAACAAAACAAAACAAAACAAAAAAACCAGATCATTTTGAAAGTCAGTTAATAAGTTGGTAAAAAATATTTTTATTGGAAATGTGTCCCTAGTATCCATGTGTTCCAGTGTTTTTCTACATATGTAACCCTACACCATTTTCTTTTACTAGAACACCATACAGTTTGCATACTGAAAACAGTACATAGAATTGACTCTACATTTTTTCCCTAAGGAAATAAAATTTGCTTCTCTTGGAAGACATGTCCTTAAAGCTCACATATGAGGCTTTAGCTAATGTTAGGTGTGCAAATAGCACTTCTCCATTAAAAAATTGTGGTAATTGCATAAAGCTATAGCTCATGCCCACTGGAACATTAGAAAAAGAACTAGTCAACAGAAAATGCAGCAATTTGATCATATGTCATTTGTTTTTCATAGAGAATTTCTGATTGTATGCTACACAGAGCAGGACTGTTAATAATTTAAAACATACTTTTGCTAAAGTCTGGCTTTTAAAACTGAATAAATTACTAATTCTTTGTTAATTTATCCCATCTTGGGGCAACACCATTTTCTTTCTGCATAAATCTTGGTTAAGTAACCCAACTTTTCATCCATGATCAGCTAAAGAAAAATCTCTGTAGAGACTGTTTGTGTTATTGCACAGAAATCTGCTTTTACCAGTAATGTATTATATATAGTATTTCCACTGATCAGAGTCAAGTTTATAATGTCATTTGAACTAATTTTACAATAATTCAATATTTATGTATCCAGTATTTGATTTGGTACTGAATACTCAATTGTGATGTGCATCACCAAAAGGCTTGAAAAAAACCTCTTTAACAAAACATTCACCACCTACCTAGGAGGAGAATTTGCCATAAACCAGATCCATTTATTACAGGTAAATGTAACCAAAATGGAGAATTTGTTATGGATTTTAATGCTTAAGCGTTTTTCTGTATTAGGCACTAATGGCTTATGCTCTTGACTCAGACTTAGGGCACTTGGGTTCTGTTCCTAGCGTTGACATTGGCTTGCTCTGTGATTTGGGTCATGTAACCTGTCTAAGCCTCAGTTTCCCTGCCTGTAAAAGGGCACAATTGGTGGTGGTAATAGGGTGGCCACTGACTCATCCCCAGAGTACAGGACATGCCCTTGGTGAAGGGTGGGCCCCCTTGGCCAATCAGCAGCGAGGTGGTGGGGCCCCTGCCTCTTGGCCAATTAGCAAACATGTTAATTCATGGGTAGGTCCACCAGGCCCTTCAGCCAATCATCAGGAAAGAGCAGGGCCATCACAAAAAGGCCACCTCCCTCCCTCCCTAGCTGGGAACCCTGCTCCTCCTGGCTGTGCACTGCCCTAGCTCTAAGCTCAGCCAATAGAATTGCAAGAACGACAGATTGACATGTATTTCCACCAATGAACTGAAAAGGGATTTTTTTGCAGACCAGTCTTCATTGAGAAACAGTCAAAGGACAAAGGAGTTAAAAACAGGATGGTCTGGCATAAGGTAGGACCAATGGCCATCCTAGGTGGTACTCTGCTAGGTAGTACTATGCTTCCAGGGGATTTTTTTTGTTTTGTTTTGATTTTGGTTTTTTTAGGCATCTCTTCTTTTGCAGATAATAAAGTCACTCTTCTGTACTTTTACCACAACTAGATGGCACAGAGCACACCTCTGTGCCAAAGTCTAGCAGGAATTTTGCCACTGACATAGCATAAGAGCAGGAGTCTCTTGCCGGGAGCTAAGCAAACATGAGGAAAAGCCTCAAGCAATAATAAATCCACAGTAAATTTTGAAACCATGAACTGAAAAAACTGCTAAATATTTAATAAGTAAATATTTGCTTCTCCATTAGAAGGCAAATTGATGACTTGCCCTACACAGTCTAGCAGTGCAGTCAAGAGGCTGCCCTACCCTATTGCATGGCTTCCTCATTTGCCAATATATGTGCAGAAGGGAAAGCAGGCACCACTAAGCCACTGCTTCCTTCTTCCAGGGTAGGCATGAGAAATTGTGGGGGTTGGGAAACACCTGCTCTCTGCCTCTCCCCCACCAATACACCATCTAGCATATCTGAGCCAGGCAGAGAGGCCAATCATTTTGTATGGACCACTTTCTTCCTCTACACCTGAAACAAGGGAGGAACCAGGCCAAAGTTACAACTGACTCCTGAAGCAGTTCAGCTATGCAGTACTCTCAACCCAGAGCGAGAAGGAAAGAGACAATCTGGCCCACCACAGTGTTTTAAGAGGATATGCTGCATAAGTAATGTGGTGGTTTATTGGGAGTACTCTACAGTGCAATGACCTGGACTTGATTCTTGCTCTAATTGTTTCAGTGCTCAGGGCTGAAGGCTGAGTACTATGAGGACAATAAAATGGGGAAATCCTCAGGTCTTAAGAATGTGAAGCTCCCCTGGAGGGGCCAAAGAATAAATAGATCCTGTAGTTTATTGTGCTTACAGA